AACAGGTATGTTTAACGAATGAAAGTAAGATGATTTCGGCATGCGTGATTTTTAGTGAAGGGGGTAAAGGTCCACTTTATAGCCTCACTCCGTGCAAAATGATCATTTACACACTGCACTGGGTGTGCAAAGTATTATTAAAAAGCTGGGTGTTATGTGCAGGGGTGGCTACAAGGTATAAAATCTTACCTTGCAGCATGCCAGCTTTTTTAATGTATCGGCCGCAATTCGAACAGCTGATTGAAGGAGCTGGCTGGAAGATGTTCGATCAATCAGAGCCGGCAGCCAATGAGCTGCCCGCTCTGATCAGGTATTCTGACAGGTGCCGGCGGGATTCCTTAATCAACACACTGTGTTGATGGAGGAATCGGGTAAATATTTTTTGTTCTGCCCCAGGATTCAACAAAAAAAAATTGATAGGTGTATGGCCAGCCTTAGAGGATTACATGTGGTGGACAGTTGTGTACTGGGAGCAGTTTGTGTTGTCTTAGGCTAGCCACACACTTATATTTTTCTCATTTAGCTCCATGGCTGAACAAGAGAAATCATTAGATTGCCCCATCCATGCTAAAAAGCATGGATAGAGGAATATCTTCTGCCTGCCACTGCATTCAGCAGTTTCTGCTCTTGCAGCTGATGAATACCGCAACAGTAACTGCATTTGATTGATAGCACTATTTGGTCATTCGTTTTCTACCTGGCTCCTTCATCAAAAGTCAGTTGAACAATTGACTTTTGTGGAACTAAGTGGTGCCGTCAGCTTGAGTTTTGGCTGATTCTGTAGGAAATAACATTACAAGAATTTACAGCTTTACATACATTTTGTCTATCTTCAGCACATGTCAAAAACACACCTAAGCGTGTAATGCGCACCTAGAACATATCAGATGCAGAAACATACATGTTAGTACAGTAATGCTTCATACATTTCAGTGTACTGAAACCTAAAAGTGCCACTAAGGCAAAATACATAGCAGCAGGTTGTTGTTGAATGTTGTAAGATTTACAAAAAAGTGTTCCCTCTGCTGCACCCACAAATGCAGTTTCTTTAAAATGTAGAACTGAGACCATAATAAATCTCTTGATTGCATCCCGCCTTCCTGTACCCTGCAAACCATTGAAATCCAATGATTTATCAGCAAGCGTCTCGTCCTGTTTTCAAAGTTCTCAGTGGTTGCTTTGCATCTGCCATTGTTTCCTGTTCGATGTTGCAAGACCTGCCTGCTCTACCTAGATTACAGGAGTGGTACAAGAGATTACAAGGGACTAGTACAAGCCATATGTATCCTGGGAGACCACAAAACTGCTATGACAAGTTTGGCCTGGATTTTTCAGGGTAACTACAAACCCATCTTCCTCTTGTTGGATCCTGACAGATATTTTTGAGTTTGATCACCTACATTGAAAAAGCCCTCTAATTATAATGCACATCCTTTCATCACTATAGTGCTATTGCTTTATCAGTACAGCAGGCTGATTAAATAAGCTAGTGCTAATGAGAATGATGATGTGTGAAATGCGTTAACTGTCCTAGAACAAATTACAGTCACTGTACTACCAAGATCCTGCACAGTTTTCCTCCCATTGGTGCAGCGGGGAAAAAATCTTCTTTGCAGTGGGGCTACCCCCACACTGCAAGGGTTAAGTGCTTGTTTTTGTCTAGGTTCAAGAATAAAAAATTATACTCCCCCGAAGCTCCGAGCCGGTCCGCTGTCACAGCACTCCCTCCAGCCTGTCTCCCCCTCCCTGGAGCATTGGAACCTTCCTGCAGCGTCCTCACGTCTACACATTGTGTATAGACGTGATCATTTACGGGACCTTGGACTGCTGCAGAGAAGGGGGAGAGACTTTGGAAGGAACGGTCTAAGAGCAAGCCGGCTCAGAGTATCGGGTGAGTGTAACTTTTTTTTCTTCAACCTGGACCAGGGGTAGGCAACCTTGGCTCTCCAGCTGGGCTGAAACTACAAATCCCATCATGCTTTTGCCTCTGGGAGTCATGCCTGTGGCTTGCAATGCCTTATGGGATTTGTAGTTTCAGCACAGCTGGAGAGCCGAGGTTGCCTACCCCTTACCTAGACCAAAACAAGCAGTTAAGCCTTGCAGTACAGGGGTGAACATGGTGTATGGCCATGTTATGACTGTGGAGCCACAGGGAAGCGTTACGCTGGACATACACTGCTCATGTTTTGGCCGATTCCTGCTGTCAACTGAATTTCAACTATTACTTGGCCCCATTGGCACCGCTCCATTCGACAAGAGAGTGGGCCCAAAAATCCTCAGCTGAACAGCAACCGCAGTCACTGTTCATGTATTCGGTATTCATGTATAATATAGTCTGGTGGGAATTCACCCATTCACATTGTTTTATATGGATGGGGGTATTGAGCATGTTTTTTTTCTGCTCACGGGGCTGAATGAAGAACGATGAGTGTATGGCCAGTTTTACCATCTCTGTTTGTGCTGATGCAGAATGTCACCAGAAAGTAAGAGATAATGCAACATTTAAAGTAGTCACTGGGTCAGGCATACAGGGGAAATCTTCCAATGTGGTTCTGGTGACAACTGTCCAAGGAGGATTTTCCTTCCTTCGGAGGGATCACCTCTCATTTCCTGTTGTATCTTGACAAAAAAATTAATAAAACTGACAAGGATTTTAATGTGTATCTACTCTATCCGAAACTTAAAGAAACATGTGTTTTCTTTCTTTAGATACTTTTAAGGCCTCATTCACACCGGATCCGTTGTGTTGCTTTACTGTCCGTTCAAATGATGGTAGCACAGGAGCAACAAAAAAATGAATGGGGTGAATGAGGCCTTAAAGTCCTCCAAAAACACATGCTAATGCAGCGCATCACAAACCAATACAGTGAAGTATGTGTACTCGGGGCATGTTCATTCACATAAAGCTTGCCAAAAAAACGGAACACAATGGATCAGAATGTACAATGGATTGTTGACTTGCGAGTACCTTCTGATTTTGGGGTGAATGCACCCTCAATGATCAGGGAGTTTTTTGTACTTTTTACACACATTTATCAACAAGTCATTATCAATGGGAGTTCTGCTCTGCACACCAACTTATCTCAAGCTATACAACAATTTTTACAAATCCATACAGACCATGAATAGATGTCCCCCTGAGAATGATGGGTGGTGATATCTACCAGCCATGTTCCTCTCTGCATCTTGGCCAACATTGTATAACCGTACACATGCTGATACCACCAACTTGTAGGTTTATGTCACCTTGATATAAAAAAAACCTAACCCTGTGCAGTGTTTGGATCTTCTGGCCTCCTTTTCATCTGTATGGATACTTTAAATGTCACCTTGTATTTTAGCTTTCAGTTGTGAAGGGAAAGACAGATTTTCACATTGCTTCTTTCCTAATAGCTGGTTTGTTTAACTTCTTCCCCTCTGCTCATGTCAGGCTGCTGTGTGTTGGCGGAGTCTGATTTGTAAGTGGTTGTGGTCAAGTCAGAGGAACCTGTGATATGATTAGATAGTCTTCTGGGCCCAGTGTTTGTTTTTAGACAGCCGTGTTTTGCACATACCACAAGCACAAGGCTGTACTGAGCTGAAAATAAATGACTTTAGGCTTATTTAGCAATTTTTGTTTTAATAGGGATCCGTGAGACTTGCACATGTATGATTCAGCAATATCCTTATTTGTCTTATCCAGCAGAAATCTTCCTAAATACTTTTAGATTGTAAGCGCTCACAGGCAGGGTCCTCCTTACCATGTCTTAATTTGTATGGTAGCCTCCTTACCTTGTCCTAATTTGCATTGTAATTGTTATGTCCTCCTTATGTTGTAAAGCGCTGGTCAACCTGTGGCGCTATTTAAATCCTGTATAATAATATGAGCTGTGTATGGCCAGCTTTACTGTGCAGATATACTTCCTTTTATACAAGCTTACAATAAGTGACATACTGGGGCAGATTTACAAACCAAGGGGGTTATGTTTCTCATGGTAAATTTGGTTGTATGCCATTTTGTGGCAGAGGCGCTGGAGAAAAAGTAATTCTTGGGGAGTTTTTGTTTAAAGGGGGGAAAAACACCCCCTACACGCCCCGGAATTTGAAGTAGATGGAACCGTAAATGGGTGACATCTCACAAAAGCACTATTGTAAACAGTTGGAATTGTTTTAAATGACATTGAGGCAATGTGCTCTAACAGCATGTATACATGTGGCTGGATCTATCCAGTGACATCAGCTGGATGTATACCTGCTGTTAGAACACACTAAAGCCGGGTACATGCTTCAAATTTCGTCTGGTTCTTGATGAACTGGCTGAAATTCAATGTGTGGATGCAGCTGTCAGCACCTTTCTGACCGGCATCCCTTAATCAGCTGACCGAAGGAGCGTGTCGAAAATTGTCAGCCGAACAGAGCTAGCAGCCAATCAGCCGCTGTCAGAATACATTGAAGGCAGCAGGAGATTCCTCGATTGATGCTCCTAACGATGGCGGAATCTGTTCTATATTCTTCCTCAGCTGGCAGGTTGAACGAAGAAATTAGAAGTGTGTATACTCGGCTTAACTTCAATCTAATTTTAATGCAGCCATCAAATCAAATGACTGGAAGGCTACAGTATATTACATTTTTGCTCGTGGGTTAAGAAATCCTTTACCCACAATTGCTTTCCCTTACTCAACCAGTTAGAGCTTAGATTGGTGTCCCCACAATTGCTTTCCCCTACACAACCAGTTAGAGCTTAGATTGGTGTCCAAGTTACTCACGGTAACATTATATTTGGTCTGTTCAACTAGTTTGACTAACACAAGGGCCATTGTTTAAGCTGCCCAAATATAATGCAAGGTTTTAGCTGAATAGAACAATAAAAAAATGATATGCATGACCAGCTTTGTTTTCCTTTTTGTTCTGTGTTAGTGATTCAGCATCCTAATACTCCTTGTTCTGATGTGTTGTGTGCTGGTTTAATAGATATGTAAAGCTGTGCACTAGATTTTAAACTGCACTCTTTTTCACACAAGCCTGGCTCAGTGGAACAGTCAGCTTCAGGTAAGGGATAATCTACTGCTTTGGGATAGATCATGTCTCCAAGCATTTTTCATCGTACATTCTGTGGTCAGTCATTACAGAGCATGTGTTTCTATAGTACACATCATCCTATACTCATTGCATAGCTTCCCCTATCCCTCCTCTCCAGACATCTACCCCATGAAGTGTGCCTTTGTATTGGTGGGAACCTCGCCAAATGTCCTGGGTGCTTGTCATTAGTGGGGGCTTCAGTAAATATCAACTAAGTTCGTTTTACTGACCTCTGCTGATAAACCCACACAGTGCATGTACATTTGCTGACATTTGCAGTGTGCATGTCAATGTCATTTGGCTTTGGAACGTTAAACCTTTCTCGATGATGTCATTGTACTCTTGGGGCATGAGTGAGGGCTTTTATGTTTTAATGTCTATTAAAAAACTATTTTGATATTCTTGTTTTTCATCTTAATTGCTTTTCTTCAAACAGAAACATTAATGACAGCTTACTCCACTATCGGACCATGACCATTGTAGTCTGAAAGTGAAATCTATTTCTACTTCTTATGAATCTAAAAGGAAGAAAAATAAAGACCTAGTTCAGCCTAGGGCTGGCCATACTCTGAATTTTGTTTGAATATTCGTTTGAAATAGTTTCTCAGAATATTTGATTTTGCCATCATCGAGTCAACTAAATAAATTCGAAATACCTTAAAAATGTTCCTCCAGACCAACTATTTGAATAGAACCCCAGACATATTAAACAGGTTTCTCATGCCTGGGTTTAGGTTCCCTTATATTGAAGAAAAATGTATCCTGCTACTTTTACTTTTCCTCATCACTAGCATCAAAGGCTGATGTCCCTTAGACCCTACCAGCCATCAGAAAACTAAAATTTCCAAAAACGAATATTTAAAATAAAATTCTTATGTTATACCTGCGTGTTGAATGGAAATAAAACACAACGGCTTCCTCCATCGACGCTTAAGAGCAAGGATGGAGGAATCCTCTGTTTCCATTGTATTCCAATCAGCCTCTGGCTGATTGGCTTCAGGCTCCGTTCGGCTGAAGATTTACACTCACGATGGCTTCATGTTTATCTTCTGAATTATAAAATGCATCACTTTAAATCTATGTATCTAGTTTCTAAATTATCATTATGTATGCACATGCCATAATGACCACATGTCTATATAGGCATTCATCATATGACGACTTCTGTAGCTGTTCAGATTTTAGCGTAGAAAAGGACCAGCTACATTTTTTTATTTTTTTTTGCCTCAATGTAAGCTTTGTCATAAGAAATATGCAGACGCTGCTATTGCTGGTCTCTCCTCCTGAAAGTGTCAGTAGCCTAACTGCTGTGCTTCACTATTGCTGGCTTGTGGTTCTGGAACAAGTATGACGTTTAGGAAAGTCAGAAAAATAAATTCTTATTTTGCTTGCTTATTGTGAGTCGGTGGCTCAAAATATTGATGCAAGAGAGTCAGCCTGACGGGCAACAAGCATTTCCAGGAGGAGATGTCGGCAAACCTTCCTCTTTAATGGAAACCTCTTGGGACACAAATATGGAAGCTCTACTTTTTCTTACCGGGTTTAGTAGGCACAAGCTCCTAGGTTTTCATCCCTATGCTTCACTACTTAGTGAGTCACTCATGCAGAGCAATCATGCAGGCAGTGACAGGACACCGGATATGCACATACATTGTCAGGTCCTGGGCCTACCACAGAGAAAAAATGATGCCATAAAGCAGGGCCTTAGCTGTGGTGAAACTATAAATGCCATTATGCATCTGCCTATAGGAGACATGACTGTGGCTGTCAGTCTTGCAATGCCTCATGGGATTTGTAGTTTCACGACAGCTGGAGGGCCGATGTTTGGCTACCCCTGCCATAAAGCAACCTCAGAGCTTGCTAACTCAAAAACATTTTTTGGGGCAGATCCCATATTTTTAACCTGGTTGGTTCTATTGAAGCATATGGCCAAGTTGGCTAAAGATCAAGCCAGTATTCCATTGCTGTGGTGTAACCTTAACAGTGAAATATAGCCAATAATAGTTCCTGATGTAGTGTACTGTAATTAGGTCTTGGAACTTTGATGTCATTTTTTAAGTGAAAATTTGTATTCAGTCATTAATTTTTTTTTCCTTGTGTAACAGATTCGTTGTCTAAAAAGTCAGAAGGGCTTATCAGACCCACCCACTTTTGACGGCATCCATATCGTCAATCACATGATCGGAGATGATGTGTCATTCCATTCGTCTGATGAAGACTTTGCCACCGGCTCACTCGGACAGGGGGATGTCCATTATGGCCTGACCAAAAAACATGCAAAGATGATGTTGGTTCCTTCCGACTTGGACAGCAGCGACAGTGACGCCGAAGAACTAGACATCCTTGCGGATTCCGATGCAGTGATCCAAAAACCAGTGGCTACAAGAACAGAATCTTACTCCACTGCGGTCTGATCATCACTGTGACTCTTCATCAAATTGATGGCAAAGGATACTCATCAAAAAAATTGTTAGTGTGTCTTGGACTATTTGCAAATCTGACTGACCCAGCATGTATAGAACTTCTACTTGCCTTCATACTTTGCCAAACTGTCACCATTGCCACACACTAGAAAAACCGGTCACTGGACACTTTTGTGCTAACAGTATTAACAAAATCTTTTTCTTGCAATGTTTTAGTTTTAGACCAACGCATAACTTGATTTGATGAGCAGATAACCGAGACCACTTATTTTGCAGTTTACCACACTGGTAGTGCTAATGTCAACATTCTTTAAAACAAAGGAGAAACCTGTGCAATATTGCCTGTTGAACAAAGCATATGCCCTTTTTATATATGTAAATATTGCGTGCAGTGTCTAGCTACACTCTTCAAATCCACCCGCTAAGGCGGCAATGCTGTCAAACTGTTCAGAGGGTTCATAAGATGTCTCGGTGTTGGAAATACAAAGATATAAATGGGGGGGGAAAAAAGGATGAACATTAAGGCACTTGTATGCAAGCTGTAGGAAGGCATGTCCAGCTGTTGCCTATAGAAATCAAGATTCAAGCTTTTTTTTTTTTAAGCATTCAAGAGAATCTGACTACATAAATCACCTTCACTTTTTGTGTTTCGAGGCACAAGGTCTGTGCCAGTTGTTTATATGTAGTTATATATGTCTTCTTTGCTGTTGTGAACTCTTTAATAACACTACGTTTATACAAGATTAAAGACACTCCAATATTATAATAAAAAGACAGTAATATTTATAGAGGAACAGTCAACTTGAATGGGCCTTGTAGGCGGCGATTAATGTCTTACTTTGTGATAAGAGTCAATACATATCCAAGATTTGATGATGGTGGTTTCACTAAACTAAATCATAGACACAGCTTCCATCCGGGGGGCAGTTATATTCCTTTCAGGAGTGAATACCAGTTTGAGTCATTCCATGTTGTACAAAGAGTAGGGACATGAAGCTTATGTTTGGTT